CCTGCATTTCACTACTCATACACTGCACTCATATACACGTTAGGTGGTGGAATGCAGGAATGGGAAATGCAGATTTTCCTCCCATCCCAAATGCTCTCTAGTTTCTGATCTTTTTTCATCCCTACATTCCAATAATTTTAGAATAAAATTTTTCGTTACTAGTTTCTGCACTTTTTAATTGTTGAAATCTTGGTTTCCAGTCTAGGTGTAAGCCACCACTTCACTAATTTATTCAGTTCTATAGGAAGCCATAATCTAATCTATATACGTTACTTATGGAAGTCATGACCAGGATACTGCGCGGCGCGGTAAGGGGTATACGGTAGATTATCTACTTCCATACAACGCACATAATGGCTTACTGTTCAGAGACTGTGATTAGTACTTTAGGCATCACTTGCTGCTCTAGGTATGAAAAGGCATATCGTAGGAAGTAGTGGAGTGTTTGGTGTGCAGTCTGGTCGAAGGCACACTGTGGTTTACGAGTTACAACTGATGGAGAAGAAGAAAGTTGATGTTTTTGTGGCCTGTTTTCTAGACGTTAAAGATGGTTAGCCGAACTTTAGATACAGTTTTGTATTTGATTAGTGAGGGGCTTTTCGTCTCTATCCCTTGGTTGGGTTTTGCCGACGTCCTTCCGTATGCGCTACCGTACACAATGTACAGGCCACCATTTTAACCGGACCCATCTCTATATAGGGGTCGCTACTGCGATCTCTGATATGCCAGCCTAGAAAGGAAGCAGCACTGTCTCCAATACTGGGAATCTAACCTAGAAATCTACAGTATCTTTAACAGTGTTTAATTTTTAAAAAAAGGATTATTATATGATGTGTATCTTTGTATTTGTTTTATTTTTCAGAACTTTTGTTGTACATTCACAGAAACAAAAACACGGGAGAAAATCTAAAACAAAAAAACAACCTTCAAACCAATTTCCAGTTGAAAATATGTGTTTTAATCGTCATTCTATTTTGTGTAACTTAACGTTTTTAACTAAATGCTGAATAAATGGTGAACGACCTATAATCATCTGATGCACTTGCCTGTATTCACGCATTCTTTATGTACAAACAACCATCTCTAGTCCAAGGTATACAGTGTTGTAAACAAGTCAAACTTCGTTTTGTTAAATTAATCTGTGTTTTTGCTAGTTTTGTTGCCCAAGTGAGGTCGATAACACGAACAGTAAATTTAATTAATTAATTGTATCAGTTAGAAGATCCATCTGGCAAAGTGATTAATTATAATGCCAGCGGGACAGATTTTAATTTTGAGGGGGGTGGGGGGGGATCACCGACGATTGAGGTACTTTATTTTGTATGTTGAATCAGCAACTTATCTTGATAATGTTATAAATTTCTCTCTTCCCCATTTAACTTCACTACTGGGTCAAAAGTTGAGGACCATTTTCCCCAGTGCTCCTCCAGTTCCGCCGCCTATGTTGATTTCAGCTGCGGTGATGGGGATTTTGCATAAAATGTAAAGGCTACAATATGCTTGAATGAGAGTATGTTTGTTTCTTTCTATTTTTTTAAATAATTGGCATTGATTGAGAATATTTCGTTTCTATCTTTTCCAGGTCCCCTTGGTCACGAAAAAAATTATCCGGCCTCCCTGCCCTCTAGGTGAGCATGCTTGTTTGTTTGTAGTTAAGCACAAAGCTACACAATGGGCTGTCTATGCTCTGCCCACCACGGGTATCGAAATCCGGATTCTAGCATTGTAAGTCTGCAGACATACCGTTGTGCCACTGGGGGGCGGTGAGCATGCTAAACAAAATAAGTTATTACCGAGTAATTGTTAAATGGAAAATATATTTTTGTGTGTAACAACTCATTATATTTGAACAGAATAACGGCTGGTGTTATACATAACGAACCTCATATATAAACTTGTGACGAGAGTTATAAATTCTTGATGTTTCTAAACAAGAATGGCAAACAAAAACTGTTTTGGGACATAAGACTTGATTTGTATCAAAGCAACGTACTTTATATCCATTAATAGTTATCTGAGGCAATATCGCCTTTATATGACATTAGTCAAGTATTTACGATTAAACCATGCATATATTTGAGCTTCTATTTATATCACGATTTTATTTTCATACTCGCCTCGCGATATAGTACGACGTTGAAGTAACAATTTAAATTACATCGAACGACAGTCATACGCTAGTTGTCTGCTGCAGTGGCACTGTTCACATTGCGTGTGTATTGGCGCCAGAAAGTCCAGCTTTGCGCACAGTTACAGTATTTAAAAAAAAAAAAAAAAAAACGTTTATATTTAAACACAGACTTTTCAATTTTCACTTTATATATTTTGTCACTTGAACTCCCTCTGCATGTGACGCCCACTCAAGCTGCTAACTTTAGAGAACAAATTTCGCATTCTGACGCAGAAAGTAATCGAGTAAATGTACTTTGTAGGTTTATATTACATTCTTTTATATCTTAACATCTACTTAAAGAACAATATTAGCTCCCATCATTTGTGCTCATATACTTCCAGCTATCTGTTCGTTAGTTAATTTCCGGTATAAGTTCTTTCCGAAGAAACTTTACTGATACTAGTCCTGTGTTAAATAAAACTGGTTTATTCTTTCTGGATACAACTTTGCGATTCACTTAATTTTCACAGTCGG